CAAAGCATGGGAAAAATTTACATTTTGGAAAACACTTTAAGGTTTTATAAATTAAAGTTACACAAGCAAGCAAAATGTTTACCAACGACAAAAACTAATTTACAAGATGTGAAACACTTTTAGGAGCCCTGAGACAAATTCACATCTGGCAGAACACTTTTGGTAAATGGACTTGAGATGGTATGCAGGCTGCAGGAGCTGGGGATCAAACCCCAGACCTTCCAGTTGAGACACTACCGACTCTACCACTGAGCCACAGTATTTAATATCAAGTAATGTTCAACAGTGTTCTTGATACTTATTGAATGAAACCTTTATTAAACATAAGTCACTCCAGTTGAATATAATTTGAAAAGTCTGAAGCTAGAAGGAGCTTCCTGTCCAAAGATCAATGATGCTAAATGTCAGAGCTGTGTTGCGAAACACAACTTGACTTTTAGCCTGTATTTCTGAGTACACAGGACAAGGCAGATACCTTTTGTTCACACTGCACTTTGTATTGCTGGCTTAATTTTGTTTATATTATCTAATCAGAGTCTAAAGTCACTCAAGTGCAGATTGGGTTTGACCATTAAGGTGTGTTAGATAATATGACTGGGCTGTGATTGATGTTTTTTCAGTAGTGATTGCCATATTATTATTTTGGTCTTTCATGATAATATGTTATTTCTACATTTGTCCGTGAGAAAGGCCTGTTTTGACAAGGGAAAGTAGGCGTGGCTGCTGCAAGTTGTGTAACCATGCTCCTCTTTGTACAGTCAGATTGTTTTACCCTAATCTCAACCTGTTCAAAAATGTATAGAGCAGGGGTCTCCAACCTTTTTTCATCTGAGAGTTACTTTCAAAAAAATGAAAGGGCTACTTGCATCAAATCGCTTGCATTTATTTACATAGCTAAACTGAATTAAGCTACTGTTTGTAGACGTGTGAAATTGCAATAAGCCAATGCTTATCAATAATCTTAAATTCACATCAATGTCCAAGAAAACATTAGTACTTCATACTTGTTTTTATGGGCCAAATATATGAATAGTGGGAAGAGGTGCATTTACCGTCGTCAGATTTTTATTTTTATTTTTCACACAGTCGATCAACCTATAGGCGAGCTACTGAAAAACCTGCCCATGAGCTACCAGTAGCTCCCGAGCTACCTGTTGGAGACCCCTGGTATAGAGTGTAGTCGCTGAGTGAGTAGACCATCTGTTTATCAATATTTGACAGGAATTTGTAAACCATAAGTGCTTCAAGTTAGAACATAGGAAGTCTTCCTCCTGCTGCTGGCCTCTCTCATTTTAACAATGCGGCTTTATGATTTTTTACTGAGTTTAGACCTCAAGGGGCTATTTCTGTTTCTTATTATTTTCTTCATAATAGCAGACTACCTCAAAAACTGGAATCCTCCTAATTTTCCTCCAGGACCATGGGCAAAAATTCAAAGTCCGCGGAAACGCGGCTTCTCCTACGTCCTCCTGTTAGCTGTAGCATTAGCTGCATGTAACGCTTGGTTCTAGCCCCCCTCAAAAAAAAATTGCCAGTGTGACGTCTTGTCAGTGTGATATCACTGATCTAAGCCCATTGGCTTGTTGTGGCAAGCCCTGCAGCTCATGTTGCGCGCCTGTTAACTTCTGTAGCACTCCCATGATATGCTGTAGCCTGCGGTTGCACAGTAGTGCTAAGGTGCTAATGTTTTTGCTCCCCGGCCCTCAGAGCCAAAGTGACTGCATTCCCAATATGGTGAAAGGGGCGTGACATTTCCGAGAACCGTGCTGAGCGGCTGACCAATCACAACAGAGCCGACAAATCAGATCAGACTTGGCACACGTGGGGACCATAGACTGTAAAAATAATGGACGGGACAAGGTCCCCGGTCTAGTGAAGCTTTTATTTTTAGAGCTCCCCCTACTGACTGGCTGCAGTATAGGTCATAAACCCCGCCTCCTCAATGATAACAGACGGGATGTGGGTCAAACTGTAAAGCTAAAATACTCGTCACATAATTTTTTTCCAAACATAAACTCTGCTGTGATCATTAGTTATTATCACCCTACATTGTGTTCAAGTGCTCATTTTTCTGTGAAGTTTGTTTTAAATAAGTTATTTGAGGTTGAAAAACAGGATTTTACGTCATATTTGACGATGATTGACAGCCGCCGATCTTGCGTAGCTCTCTTTGTGAATAGCAAAAGTTACGTAGTGAAGGAAAGCTGAGACGCCATTGAATTTTTCCGTTCAGTTTTTTCGTCTTTTTGGAGCTGGCAAAATGAGTTGTTCTGCAGTAAACTGTTCTAACCGACCTGTGGGAGCTAAGGGATCTTTGCAGTTTTTTCGGTAAGTAAAAAAGTGATTTATGTGTCATTGGTTAAAGTTGTTATCTAGCTAGCTAACACATAAGCAGTCTAAGGTTAGCTGAAATGTTGTAAAGCTAGGTTACTTATCCGGCATGATTTATCTTTTTATTTTATTTTATTAAATGAGCAAACCTAATAACTGACATGCTATGTTTCTTGATATTGTTATATCGTTATTGTGATTGAAATTGTATTTAAAACCAAGAATCGTAATAAAAAATCCGCTCATAGATGCGGTTCATTGACTGTACAGTTATTTTACAGTAAAAATAAATTTGTCTAGTAAAGTCTCAAAAGTATCTAGGACAAAAACAAAGTCACATAATTGTAATCTGGCCTGCATCATTACTAATGTGTACATGTTTACAGTCTGAGTGATAAGTGGGCTATAGCGAGAGTAACAGGTTTTACTTTCACCGTGCAGGCTGAAATTCAAAGTACTATATATATATACTGTATATACCTCGTATACGAGGGTAGAATATTTCTCTATGTATCCAGATAAAACTAAAGGTAAGCTCTGATTTAATATAACTGTTACTGATTTAAGAGACTAACCGAAACGTGAACGCAAACATCAACAACCGGCGGTGGTGTAATGTAATATTAACCGAGCATCATGCTGCTTAAACGTGATAAATATTCTGCATTGTCTTCCACACACCAATTCAACAGTCATAAGTTGATCATATTGTAAATTTAATGACACTCATTGAGAAATTGTTCTAAAAATTGACAAAACCTGACAAACATTGCGGTGATTGTGACTGTGTCTGTATTTAACACCTTTGAAAAGAAGGTGTTAATGCAGGAGACCAGTGTTACACACAACATGCTGCTGTTATTGTAGTTAGGAGGAGACATAGGCACAACAAAAGAAGACATAAAGATCACGTTTTTCCCCACACATGTAATATGTTTTAAATGTCATGCATTTATTTTTGATTTCGCTTCAATAATGTTAACGAAGAGAAACACCATGATTAAACTACAGGCTATTGTTGCCTTTTTATAGCCAAAGAAAACTGAACATTCACAGCCTCTGTATTCAAAAGAATTTCAACATTGACATTTATGTCGTCCTATTTCCCTCTTTTCACCAACATTATATTTTATATTTTTTATTGGCACCTCACCAATAAAATACTATTTTATATTTTATAATTTTACTCTCCAAAGGCATATGAGCATGTGCGTGACAACTTTAACAAAGCTTTACCACACAGTCACACCATCCGCACAGCTGATCCAGGATTTACTGTAGCATCTTTTACAGCACTAAAAGGTCATGTACAGGCAAACAGAGAGAAGGGAAAAGAAACAATCTGTGCTCTCAAATAACAAAGCAGTCTCAAATCTTTTTGAGGAATTACAGCTACATTTTTTTTACTTTGCATACAGTACATCCTCTGATAAATAAAGTGAAGTACTTTGATTACATTTCTGTGGTGTTCCTGTAGGTAACCATGATGCAGCCAGACTGAAGCAGCAGGTTGTGAAGGTGGACGCCATCATCTTGTCTTTGCAGTGCTGATTCTGAAGAGCATGTCTTCACATAGGACTCAAAGTTAAAATGATCTCTCATATGATTGGACCGTGTTATTGTAATCGCTATCAGCATCAAAGTAATTTTAGTAACAATTTATAATCCTTAAAATGTAAGGAAGACTATGTGGTAAATGGACTTGAGTTTATAAAGCGCTTTTCTAGTCTTCTGACTACTCAAGGCGCTTTTACACCACATGCCACACCTACACATTCACACACTGATGGTAGAGGTTGCTGTGTAGGGAGACAATCAGAAGTAACTGATCTCATTCATACGTATTCATACGCTGCCGCCGATGCAGTGGGAGCAATTCGGGGTTAAGTGTCTTGCCCAAGGACACATCAGACATGTTGCTGCATGAGCACCTTCCGGTTGAGAGACGATGAATCTACCACTGACCCACAGCCGCTTGTGATGGTGTAACACGGGCACGCCATGAATGTTTTTGTACATGCTTCAACTTCTGGATGCCAAGCAAAAGAAAGTAAAAAAGAAAAGAAAAATACATTTGTGTATTTTGTGATCATTTTATTATATTATTCACTTGTAAATATTATTACTTGAGTTTAACCTTTTTTAGAACTTTGTAAAAAACATTACAGCGTAAATGCATGTTTAAAAGAATCAGTATATGACGCTTTCATACATTTTGTCATTAATAACAAGGAACAAAAGAAGGTTGTATATTCAGAAGCATTAATACAAATGATACATAATACAATGAAAGGTTGAGTTTGGGCATAATATATAGTATTAGTTCTTAAGGGCTTTTGTCCACAGACAGCAGTTTTTGCACTGGCAGCACTCGTTTTCAAAACAAAACAAATGTAGTTCAGTGTTTTTAGAGCTCAGAGTCCTGGGTGGTAAAAAGTCCTCTGCGTCAGCTGTTTTTGACGCTGCGCTCACAGCGCTCTCAGTCGACAACAGAACAACTTTTGGAACAGCACCACGGACTTCAATGTCACTTACAACATCAGGCTTTGTCAACAACAATGGCGGAGGAGACGCCAGTCTGACTAATTTTTTCAACAATACAATTTCCATGTGTAGAGCTACTGCTGGTGTCAGTACATGACTACTTTTTACATTGTTTTCATGTTTTCTTGGTGATATTTCCTTGAATTTAAGCAAATATTATGCACATGGAGCTATCTAAAACACACCTAACAGACATTACTGAGGGAAGCGGAAGTTTACTTTTCTCACCTACAGTAGCTACAGTGCAATGGTAAAAAGGGCTCTGAAACGGAAGTCTTCAGCGTTTCCAGCACAAAAAGCGTTGTCTGTGGACACAGGTCCTAAGGTATTAAGTTTGTCTTGTCTATTAAACTTTGATTAGATGTTGCATGGCTCAGGGAGATGTCGTTCAGTTTAACGCACTTTAGCGTAAACCTTGAATGGGTGAGGCACGCGTGTCATTCCAGTGATTCCTTCAGTGCTAAGCTCAACTCCATCAGGAACAGAAAAAGAAAACTTCTGTAGTAGACCAACCAAAAATAGGAACAGCTCCATCTTGGCAAGACTTTCTCCAAGACACACACGTTTCCCTGAAATGACCAATAATAACAACACATACTGAAGTAAGAGCTCAGGAATAAACTGTATTCTGCATCAGGTTAAAGTTAAGTTTCATGGGGAAGTGGTGTACCTGCAGAGAAGGGAAGGAAAGCTTCTTTCTTCAAGAACTTTCCCTCAGAGTTGAGGAAGTGTCCAGGGTTGAAGGTGTCTGGAGTCTCCCACTCAGTCTTGTCAAACAGCACAGAGGTCAGGATGGGCATCAGGGTCGTGCCCTAAAAAAACCATCAAAAAGCAAAAATTAATGCAAAAATAGCAGTTTAGAAGTATAGGGTTTAAATTACTTTTAAGGCTGCAGGATATATAATTTCAGCATCATCATCTCGCATCATCTGTGCGATTAGTCACACTGCAAGGACATAAAAAATAAAAACATATATTTGAGCCTTTCAATTAAGTTTATGTATCCTGTCTAAGCCCATTCACATTACTAATAGATCTAAATGAGCATACATTTATATATTTTACCACATTACATGCAACTATGTTCATAGTTAGAACACCTTCTCAGCGCTCTGTCATCTCACCTGCTGTTATCAGGGTCGGCTTCCAGGTCTGTGCGTTCAACTTAGTCTTCAGTCAGAACGGGCTCTCGGTTTCATTTTTGAGGCCTAAGTTTCGATCTTCTGATAGCCCATTCTATTGTTTATTTCACGTCCTCCTTCCCATTCCTTACGATTTCATGAGCTGCCATAAAACTTGAAGCAGTCGTAGTTTAATGTCGAAGTAGTAGTATTATTTAATAAATATTCCCGCAATATTATTTGGCCGCGGAGGGAAACTTAAATGATGGAACCTCAGTGCATGAGCGCGTTATTAAAAAGTCTGACCTGATGTGAGAAGAATCACTTGCAGGAAATATTATAGATCAATATCGATAATTAACGGATATCAACATGATTAAAACGCAAATAGCGTTCCCGGAGGCAGTGAGAGACAGAGGCAGACAGGTGAGAGTCTGTAATCATAATTTCAGGGAGAGTCAGGGTGAATTCTGCTGAGCAGAGTGAAGCAGTAAACTTTAAAAAATATCACAATATATATCGCGGGATACAAAAATATTGCAATGTAATTTTTTCCCAATATCGTGCAGCCCTAATGACTTTGAAGGACATGTACCTTAGGGATGAAATAACCACCCAGTGTTGTGTCCTTGGCAGCCATTCTGAATCCATTGAGAGGAACGATATTTCCATATCTCTGGATTTCATGGATGACAGCATCAGTGTAGGGCAGGTTGGGTCTGTCGGCCATAGTGGGCAGGCGGCTTTGTCCAATCACGCCATCTATCTCTGCCTGGACTTTCTCTAAAATACAGTAAAGGTGAAGGAACAGAAAAAGAAAAAGTACAACTTGAAATGACAAATTTATATCTTGACATGTTAACTTAAAAATGATGGTTGAGGATGTTTGTCTCCTATCAGTCACATTAAAATGACTCCAGTACGGAGTAGAGAAAGAACTATACTGAACATGACCATGTGAGTGATCTTTACTGCAGAACTTGTTGTTCAGGCAAGCCGTCCATCAACAATCCGGTGGGGGGGGGGGGGGGGTTGTTCTGGCAGGCCGTCAACCAACGAGCTCAAGAGTTCCCAGGAAAGTAGGTGGTTAGTGACTGAGATTTATCAAAAAGGAGAGTTTTAAGTCTATTCTTAAAAATACAGACTGTGTCTGCCTCCTGGACCCCGGCTGGAAGACAGTTCCAGAGGAGAGGAGCCTGATAACTGAAGGTTTTACCTCCCATACTACACTTAGAGACTGTAGGTACCACTGGCAAGCCTGCATTCTGGGAGCGTAATGTTCTCGAAGGGTAAAACGTCACTAGTAGCTCCTTAAGATAAGATGGTGCCTGGCCATTTAGAGCTTTGTAAGTGAGAAGAAGGATCTTGAATTCTATTCTAGATTGTATAGGGAGCCAGTGCAGAGAAGCCAACACAGGAGTAATGTGGTCCCTTTTCCTAGTTCTGGTCTGTACACGAGCTGCAGCCTTCCGGACTAGTTGAAGAGTCTTTAGAGACTTACCAGAGCACCCTGACAAAAGAGAGTTACAATAATCCAACCTGGAGGTAACAAATGCATGAAATGCATGTGGTTCACAAATGACAAACAGTTTGTAAATGCAGACTGAACACTTTATATATTTGTGGATTTCTATTACATATATACAAAATTATAAATATTTGTGTGTGAATCAGAAATACATTTGTGAATCTTATTTTTTTATTTGTGGATTTGTTTTACATTTATATAGAATGAAATATATTTGTGTGTGCATTGAAATACATTTGTGAATCCTTCTGTGTGCTTTTGTGTGTATTGAGACTGATCTAACTCCATAGTAGCCGGACTTACCGCCAGTGGACCCGGTCGGGCTCAGCCCAAAAGAACTACATGGAGCCACTTCCCTTTTGGCACACCACCATCGGGGAAAGGCATGGGGTTTGGGGGCATGCTATACTGGGTGACAGGCGTATGCGGGGGCCTGGGTGTGATAATCCCCTGTTGTGCAGAGTGGTTATTTGGACGTGGAACATCAGCTCTCTGGTGGGGAAGGGGCTCAAGCTGGTGCAGGAGGGGGAGCGCTACAAGCTAGATGTATGCGGCAAGGACTGGCTTGTTGTTTTCTTGGTTATTCTGTGTTTCATAATATCCTTACTAAATACACATGAAGAGTTGGTGTGTTAGTTTCATTTCAAGAATGCTAATCGTAATTGAAGATACACTTAAATATTAGATTAATTGTTTTAACGTCTTTTATTGGCCCTTTTATTTAGTTTTGATAAAGGTGTTGCTTTAAGTTACTGTAGCTTTCACAGGGCACAACGTGGCACATTTCCCTCATTGAGCTGAGGGCTGTGTGGAGTATTGACAAGCTGTGGAGATGCGCGGTTTTCATACTGCGTCCTTGTCAGTGTTCGTGTCTAAACTTGTGCTACTTGGATTCAGTACCAACCTGTGGATTTTATTCTTGTGACACTTTAGAATGAAAGTTGGATGCATCAGGGGGACACGTGTATGCCAGGACTACCAGCTAGCTTTACATTTTGTCAGTAACACTAGATAGTGTGATAGTTGGGCTCACCTCAACACAGCATTAGTTCTGGAACCAAATTCCTGGAGAGGGGCTAGACTCTGTTGTTCAGGGTGAGAGGCACTGGGCAGGTGTGGGGATACAAACAACCCCCTCGCTTATCGCTGCTGTGTTGGAGTTTGCCCAGGTGAACAAGAAGGTCACCAACAATAATTTGAGGAACTCCTGAACCAAACCAACGCGTCACGTTTCCTGAAGGACGTTTTGGCAGAGGTCACTGTCTGTGGGTCTTGTTCATGAGTGAGTGTAAGATCGGATGTGAGATTCACAGGCAGATTGGCTCAGCGTCGGCAGTAATGCGGGCATTATACTGAACCGTTGTGTTTAAGAGGGAGCTGAGGCTGAAGGCAAAGCTCTCTATTAACAGGTCGATCTTTGCTCCAACCCTATGGTCATGAGCTATGGGTAGTGACCGAAATAAGATCGTGGTTACAAGCAAACAAAATGAATATCCTCCAAAATGAACATCCTCCTGGGCATATCCTTAGAGATAGGGTGAGGAGCTTTGACTTTCAGGGGAAGCTCAGAGCAGAGCTGCCACTCCTTCACATCAAATAGAGCCAGTTGAGGTGGTTCGGGCCTCTGATTAGGATGCCTCCCGGATGCCTCCCTTTAGAGGTTTTCTGGCCACGCCCAACTGGGAGGAGAGCCCAGTGTAGAACCAGAGTTCCCAAGAGGGACTATATATCCCATCTGATCTGGAAAATGTTGCTGGGGAGAGGGAAGTCAGGGTTGACTTACTTTGTCTGCTGCCACCACAATCCACCTCGGAAATGCTGAAGGAATTTGATGGGTGGAGGGATAACCCCTGTCATTCTTACCTGAAATCACCAGTGTTGCCCTGGTTACATGAGCCATTACTCTGGCTGGATTACATTAAATTGGAATTATGCCTTCTTTTTTTACATTTTCAATACTTTTGTTTATTCCAAAATACCTAAAACAAATAATACATTTCAATCAACCTCAGCGGTAGACTAAATAGTAAAAGCATAGCCTCCCAGAACTGCCATCATGGCTGTGGTCTTGTTTTCTTGCTGTTTCACAGTAAGTTAAAGGGATTCTTCACCCGTTGAAACATGAATCTGTATTGACATTGGGTCATATATGTAGTAGAAATGTGAAATACATTTTTAAGTTGGTACCTTCTTGGCCGACAAAAGGCAGAAATTGTCTTACGTGGATGAAAGACACAAAATCCCAGAATGCACAGCACCGCATTCCACTCCCACTAAGGTCCTCGATTTCAGAATCAGAATCAGAAATACTTTATTAATCCCAGAGGGAAATTCGATCGTTACAGTTTCTCCAAAATATACAATATAGCAGTAGAAATATAGTAATAAAAACATTAGCCAGCAACGGCCCCGGTGGCCAGTGCTAGCTGCGGCCAGCGACGGCCAGCGACGGCCCGCCAGCAGCCGCTGCAGCCAAAACACAAGACCGGCCTGTGGGCAGCAGTCTCGCCGATATATATTTATATTTTTTCACCATTATCAGCTTTCTCCATAGAGCCTGTTAGCATAGCTTCCAAGCAATATGGCGGATGTTAACTTTCGATTCTGGGAGTGAGTTCCCACCCACTGATCTGTGATTGGTCTGAAGCTTCAGTGGTCGAAAATATGAGGAACTAGCGTTGTAGTTTCACATCACTAACCGCAACAGTTTACAGTGACTCAATAAGACGATATTTGCTTCACTGGAAGCTCCTTTTCAGACTTAGAAATACAGAACTTTCCAGTCTCAGGGGGAAATGAGGGCTGGATGCACCACCATTCAAAAATACTACCAGTTCACTACTAATACAATGCTTAATGCAAATGGGTGAAGTATCCCTTTAAGTAAAGGCACTTGTATTATCACCCACCCTGAATTTCCGGGTTATTGATGAGGTAAACCAAAGCCCACAGCAAAGTAGTGGAGGTCGTCTCTGTTCCAGCCAGGAACAGATCCAAAGAGCACACAGCCAGATTGATCTCATTGAAGCCCACATCGGTCTCTTTGTGCTATTTAGAAAAGCAGATATAATACGATAATACAAGAAAGAGGGATTAGTAAACTGAGGAGAAGAACTTCAATGTAGTGCAGTGTGTGTCACGCATTTCTTCTCTTACTTTTTCCATTTCAATGATGAAAGCGTCAATGTAGTCCCGGGGATCGTTGTGGTCCAGGTTCTTCTTGTGCCTTTGTACCTCCTGACTGAGAAATTCTTTCAGGATGTCGAAGTTGTCGAACATTTTGTTGTGAGGACCTGGCATGTGCTTCATCACTGAAGGGAAAGAGTCATATATCTACATCCAAAAAAACATGAGAGATACACTAGCATCAAAATTTAACTTTTAAGATCAATTTAGTCCAAAGACATGTGACTTTCAGTCTGATTATTGATTATTGACTGCCCCCCCCCTCCATTTATATGATATTAGATTGACCCACCCAACTCCATATAGAGCCCTCCAGATAGAGAACCTCTGACAGACATTTCAGCATGTGTTGGAAGTTGTGGTCGCTGTACTCAAATCGTTTCCCCATCACCAGTTGGCAAATGATGTTTGACACAGCTTTGTTAAAGTGGTTTGCTGGGTCGAAAAGTTCACCTGCAGGAAAGGATTCAACTGTTCAGACAATGACTAGAAAATACCTGAAACTTCTGATCATGAGCTGATGTTAAAGTCATTGTGAAGAACCTTTCTCCTGCTCAATATCCTCCTGCAGGTGTTGGATCTCCTCACAGATACTCTGCTCCATGGTGTTTTTGCCAAGGCCAAAGGTACGTAACGTAGATAAGGCAAATCTTCGCTGTCTCTTCCATGTTTCGCCATTGCTCATGAACAGACCACCTAGAGAAATTAATACAGATGAAATAAGGTTAGTGGCTCAGCAGGACTATTTTTTCAAGAATAAGTAGTGAAAGAGAGATGTAAACCTGAGCTTCCTGAGTAAAATCTATCCTCGACTGAACTTTGGGGTCGATCCACAAAGTTCTCAGCCTGTGTCACGATAGCATCCTTCACAGCCTTGTATCCAGACACACACACCATCTTTTCTCTGCCGAGACGAACGCTGAATACACTTCCATAAATGTCAGCCAGCTGTGGACAACACATCAATGATTAAACACTTATGAACCACAAACCATGTGAACATTTGAACTGAATGTTTCTAAAAACCAAGGAACTGATCTTTGACTTCAGACACAAGAGAGAGGCAACCATGGAGTGCATCATTCATTATGATAACATGGAAAAAAGATAGTTTACACCAGGGGTGCCCAACCAGTTGATCGCGATCAACAAGTAGACCGTGGACTGATTCTAAGTCAATATAAAATACAATTGTAAAATAGAAACGTGTGTTAGTTTCATCTCATTGCAGTGTTTCCCACACATAGACAATACCGGGGCGGGGAGCCCAAGTATATTTCCAACTGTTCTGTTTGTATTGAATTTTTCATTTATTCATAAAATTGCTGTGTGCACGAGAGAGCTAGAGAGAGAGCGGGGTAGAGAACAAGCACCTAAGAGAGGGCAGACAAGCGTAAGGACGTGCAGGTAAAACTGGGAACTGGTAAAAGTGTTTTACCAAAAAGTCATATATAGAAACTATGCTATAAGTATTAGACGTGTTTTATGCAGCTACTTTTCCCTGCTCCTCTGTCTGCTGTCATGTCAGCATCGCGGGGCACGGTGAGACACATCAACATACATTGCATTTGCTGCCCAAATGCGCACACACACACACACACACACACACACACACACACACACACACACACACACACACACACACACACACACACACACACACACACACACACACACACACACACACACACACACACACACTGGAGCGCCAGCCACCACGCAGACCTTTTGTTTCACAGGCTCTCAGTAAACAACAAAACAGTCTGAACAGCATTGTTAAAATCTGATTACCGGTGTGAAACAGAGATAACCAACAGATCCTCCGAAAGTATTTTAGCTGCAATCAGATTACTGTATGCTCCTTAGGTTTCATTCATTAAGTGCATTGAAATATGAGTGAAATATTGTAAATATAAATATTCTAAATAAAATTTTACACAAACTGTAAGATTTCTCCTTTGTTTTAAGCCTTACCTTGGTAATATACTTGTCTGGATGTTCACTGTCCACACTGAGAATATTCCCCACAATTGGAAAAGCCCATGGTCCTGGAGGATAATTAGGAGGTTTCCAGTTTTTGAGGTAGTCTGCTATTATGAAGAAAATAATAAGAAACAGAAATAGCCCCTTGAGGTCTAAACTCAGTAAAAAATCATAAAGCCACATTGTTAAAATGAGAGAGGCCAGCAGCAGGAGGAAGACTTCCTATGTTCTAACTTGAAGCACTTATGGTTTACAAATTCCTGTCAAATATTGATAAACAGATGGTCTACTCACTCAGCGACTACACTCTACACATTACTGAACAGGTTAGGGTTAGGGTAAAACGATCAGGCTGTACAAAGACGAGCATGGTTACACAACTTGCAGCAGCCACACCTACTTTCCCTTGTCAAAACAGGCCTTTCTCACGGTCTGATTATGGAAATCACTGCTGGAAAAACAACAATAGCAGCCCGGTAATATTATTTAACACACCTTAAGTGCCAAAACCAAACTGCATTTCAGTGACTTTAGACTCTGATTAGATAATATACAGAGTTAAGCCAACAATACAAAGTGCAGTGTGAACAAAAGGTATCTGCCTTGTCCTGTGTACTCAGAAATGTAGATCATAAGTCAAGTTCTGTTATACAACACAGCTCTGACATTTAGCATCATTGATCTTTGGACAGGAAGCTCCTTCTAGCTTCAGACTTTTCAAATTATATTCAACTGGAGTGTCTTACGTTTGATAAATTCAATAAGTATCAAGAATACTGTGGAACATTACTTAATATTAAGTACTTTGTTAACACAACACATTGTGTTGAAGTTTTGAAGCTCAATACTTCCCCTGACTTCTCTTTATTTATGTTAAATTATGTATTTTAGAATAAAGCTGCAATCATTTATTGATTTAAGAACAGGAAAATATATCATACATAATGATTTAAATATATTTCCAACTTTGGAGGTTAGTACAGTCCCTGAAACAGTGGTTTGAGATAACAACATTTGCAGTTAAAGTAATAAAGGTGCTTTATTGTGTCACTGCTTGAGTTGAAGAAAACAATCCTACATTTTCAAGTTAAGTAAAAAATGCAAAAGGCTTCTGTCCTACCAGTGAAAGGAAAATATGATGTATGTATGATTTATGGATGTGAGAATGTATTTTGAAGTTCTGCTTTCAGTATATCAGTGTTATTCATATATTTTAAGCTGTTGTTATTCTGAATGATTTTTTTTTTATATTCGTGTGTCGTAGCCATTCTGATCTACTCAAATCAGGTCTGGAAGAATGTTTTCTAATCGTCTAGCCAGAATTTTCACTATAGGCTTTCTGTTGACATCAAGCAGGGCAATTGGTCTATATAAGGAGCAATCCTCTGGTGGTCTGCCCTTTTCAAAATTAATGAAATGTTGGTGTCCATCATAGTTATGTTGTTGTTGACGATGTAATGATGTGATTTTTTTTGTGCTCTGTCTCTAGTCACTTCCTGTCAGCACCTGTGTGTCCGATTGGACTTAAAGCTGTTTGTTTGCACTTCCTGATGTTGTTTGCTCCTCTCTAGATCCTTGCTTGTGTTTTTCTTACTTGGATAAAAGTGTCTGCTAAATGAATTGTGATATTTGGAGAATGCCACCCCAAAAGAGTGGACTGCTCCTTCCAGGTGTGGAGTGAGCCTCTGCCTCAGCAAAGGAGTTCAAGTATCTTGAGTCTTGGGGCAGCTGCGGCTCAGCTGGTAGAGTTGGTGGTCTTTCAACCCAGAAGGTCAAGGGTTCGATCCCCAGCTACTGCAGCCACATGTCCGATGTGTCCTTGGGCAAGACCTTTAACCCCGAAATTACTCCTGCTGCTTCGTCGGCGGCGTATGAATGTGTATAAATGGGATTAGTTACTTCTGTTGGTCTCACTACACAGCAGCCTCTACCATCAGTGTGTGAATGTGTAGGTATGGCATGCGGTGTGAAAGCGCTTTAAGTAGTCAGAAGACTAGAAAATAAATATACAAGCTCAAGTCCATTTACCATTTTGTTCACGAGTATGGGTAAAATGGATTGCAGCATTAATGCGGCATTGCGTAGAACTGTCATGGTGAAGAGGGAGCTGAGCCTGAAGGCAAAGCTCTTGGTTCCCAGGTTGATCTTCGCTCCAACCACAAACTGTAAATATTATATATTAAATACAGACTATGGTTCCAATCCTCACCTGTGGTCAGAAGTTTTGTGAAGTGACCTAAAGAATTAGAACTGGACTACAAATGGACTTTCCTCTGGAGGGTGGCTGGGCTCAGCCTTGGAGAGAGGATGAGCAGCTCTGACATCCGAAGGGAGCTTGGAGTAGGGCAGCTGCTCCTCTGCATCGGAAGGAGCCAGTTGAGGTGGTTAGGGCATCTGATTAAGATGCTTCCAGGCTGGGCTGTTCTCCATCAGCTGCAGAAAACCTCTGAAGAAGGGAAGTAAAAAAGAGGAATATTTCAATTTTGGCCAGTGTCTCCCCGATACACACACGCTTCCCTGAGGAAACACAGATCGACCAGTGAGGTGATTGAACACAAGACATTTGTTTGATTTTTTATATTGCTGCAGCTCAGAGTCTGAAACAAGCACAGACTATTGTAAGACACTGACACTGATCCTGTCCCAGATATGGCCCAGGCACATCCAAATGGGCAACTGGGAGGATTTCGGCCTATGGTTGTGTAGCATGTTCGTTAAACAGAGTGTAAAAAATTATAATTTTTAGTGGACTGCTTAAGGGATTATATATCCCGTCTGGCCTGGGAACACCTTTGAATCCCCCAGGAGGAGCTAGAAAGCGTTGAGAAGAAGGAAGTCTGGGGCGACTTGCTTGCTGCCACTGCGACCCTACCCTGGATAACTTGGAAGAAAATTCGGGGAACAAGATGACTATTTTGATGTGACAAAAAAGAAAGGGTTCCTCATAAATGCTTCTATGAAATTAAAACCCTTCAGTACTGAAACCTTTGGAGTTCCATTTAAAAGACAGAATGCTACTCAAACAAACATTATATATTGCAATAAATTAATATCTGATCTTATGGATGTGGCAAGGGGCAATAAGGGTTGGTGTATAATAGACAACAAAAATCTAACTGACCCCACGACGCCACCTGGGGAATTTCACCCCAGGAAATATATAAACACCTTAATCAGACAAAAGCAACACAGGTTCAACAACTGAATCAAGACAGAGACGTGGTTCCAAAAGAAAATGTAAATTTAATGATTACTGAGACTGCTCCCACTACAATCGATATCAGTTGCTAGCCTGTTTGCATTATTTTTTTCTCCATCTTCTTTACATCAGAGCAACCATCAACACATTTCAGTGAAATTAAACTCTTTGGGTAGATGATAAACCACCAAGAGGTTTCTGGAGCACACGTCCACAATGTTTTGCCCCATCTACAACAGCCTGCACCTTTGACTTGTTTAGGTTTCAATCTACCTCATGCTTAACTGATTGCTGCCTCCATACTCTGTAGATTTATAACACGTTCCCCTGGCTGATGAAGTGGCTGCCTGGATCTCACAACAAGATTTTAACTATGTTCAAAAGGATCGTTGACTTTGTTGAAATCAAGGTCAAAGAACACAGAGATAGTCTAGACCCGTCCTCACCAAGAGACTACATCGACTGCTTCCTCACAGAGATGGGAGAGGTAAAAGTTTACATGTTTGGAGGTCTTTGTGGTAGATTTTGTGTGTGTTGTGTTTGCATATTGTAATTGAATATGCAAACTTGTACTTGACACTGTCTTTTTGTTTTATTGATAGAGAGACGAAAAAGATTCTAGTTTTGATATCGAGAATTTGTGTTCTTGCACTCTGGACCTGTTTGGTGCTGGAACTGAAACTACTACCACTACTCTACACTGGGGACTGCTGTACATGATCTACTACCCTCAAATACAAGGTATGTGTGTGTGATAGTCATATATGTCCCTTCCCATGTCTGCTTAGTTTTGTAAAAGTTTTAGCAGGACTTTATAGTATCAGAATTCTTCAACAGGATAAGTCAGTTCGTCTCTCAACCGAAAAGTCAGGGGTTCAACCGGAAAGTCGGGGGCGGCAGTAGCCGAGTCCGTAGGGACTTGTGTTGGGAACCACAGGGTGGCCAGTTTAAGTCCCAATACGGACCATAATATGGAAGTTGGTCTGGTAGCTGGTGATAAGCAAGAGTACTGCAGAGGTGCCCTTGAGCAAGGCACCGAACCCCCAACAGCTCTGGTGTGCTCCTAGCCGCACTCTGACTTCTCTCCACTAATGATGTCCACAGGTCACTGTGCATGCGTGTGATTCAGGCCTATGTGTGTGAGAAGCATGTCTCTTAATAACAGAGTGTAAACCAGAATTTCCCTCAGGGATTAATAAAGTATATCAAATTGTATATATTGTAATATATCAACATGTCCGATATGTCCTTGGGCAAGACACTTAACCCCAAGTTGCTCCCGCTGCTTCGTCAGCGGCGTATGAATGGTTGACTTAATACTGATGGACTCTTTACTCAGCAGCCTCTACCATCAGTATGTGAATGTGTATGAATGGAGGAGTTAATACTGATGGACTCTTTACTCAGCAGCCTCTACCATCAGTGTGTGAATGTGTATGAATGCATGAGTTAATACTGATGGACTCTTTACTCAGCAGCCTCTACCATCAGTGTGTGAATGTGTAGGTGTGACCTGCGGTGTAAAACGCTTTGAGTAGTCAGAAGGAAAAAAAAGTCCATTTCCAGTTTATCTGGTCAAATTACTTGTTTTATGTTTTCCCTGTATACAGAGAGAGTCCAGGCTGAGATAGACGCTGTGATTGGTTCATCCAGAGCGCCCTCTCTAAATGACAAAGAAGACATGCCCTATACTAACGCAGTCGTTCATGAGATCCAGAGAATGGCCAACATCATTCCCCTTAATGTGGCCCGCATGGCAACCAAGGACACAACACTCGACAAGTACACAATCCCAAAGGTACGTAATGCACATTGTAGCATTCTGCTGATAATCAGTCCTGTTGTTATGTTAGTATGGATTATCAAATGTCCTTCATAAATGCTGTTTCCTCAGGGCACCATCATCATGCCCACCCTGAACTCGGTTCTTCACGATGAGACGATGTGGGAAACTCCACACTCCTTCAACCCTCAACACTTTCTGGATCGGGACGGCCAGTTTAGGAAGAGAGAGGCCTTCCTTCCTTTCTCAGCAGGTTGGTCAGTTGTTACAACTCCATCAAAGCAACATAAAAGTGGCGTCAGTAGAAATATTCATGACAGTCCGTAAACACCCCTCCTTCTGGGCTCAACGCCTCCAGAATCGCTATCACTGCCGGTTAAGTGTGAACGTTTGCTGCTTGTTCCTACACTGCAAGCAACCAGAGATTATTGAAGCCCTGACACACCATGGAGATTGTCGGCCGTCGGTCCTAGTTGGACCGTGTTTTTGTATCAAAACAATGGTTTATATACAGTATATCCGCATTCTTCTCCGTCCTCTTCCGGTTTCTCCTTTTTGGAATGACGATTACAGACTACCGCTGCCTGCTGGCATGGAGAGTTATTTCCTCTCACACATGCACAGAACTTACGCCTTTGGTTGTAGTCTTTACGGTGTGTTCAAGTGCAACTTTTTGGCCATGACAAAGGCGACGTGAGGCGAAGCCGCAGGCGGCATTCGTTGCCACTAGTTTCTTCCCATCTGCTTGGTGTGTCAGGGCCTTTACATTTGTTGTAATGGAAAAGACGATTATTTAGCATGGTAGCACAAGCTAACCAGCTGTGTTTGGCAGCTGTCCAACAGAAAGCAGATCAACTCCAACTCAAGCTTCACACTCACTTTGCAACGAGCTTCACTGTGATTATATTTTCTCTTCTTGCTGCTACTTCCACATCCGTCATTTCGCCGGTTTCAATGGTGTACAAACGCTGAATTGTATCCAATCCTAAACTTACCGGTGCGCTTTCATTGGCTGGGGGTAACATACCATCTCCCCACCCAGAAACGTCCTGAGTCAACCAGAACAAAGCAGAACAGTAAAATCCAGTCAGAGGACAGAGTCTCTGCAGACACAGTCGCCACCACACATGTATGGAGGCCCAGAAGGGATGATGGAGCAGCTTTACTTTAGGAGAAGTCTGTATTTGATTTTGTAGGAGAAAGCTGCTGACTCTAACTTTAATGTTATACACCAAATGATTTCCTGAAGAGAATTTCTAAAATACACAACATTGCCCACCTGGCTTTTTGCCATGACTATTGTCTTACAATAGTCTGTGCTTGTTTCAGACTCTGAGCTGCAGCAATATTATAAATCAAATAAATGTCTTGTGTTCAATCTCCTCACCTGTCGATCTGTGTTTCCTCAGGGAAGCGTGTGTGTATCGGGGAGCCGCTGGCTAAGATGGAAATATTCCTCTTTTTTACCTCCCTTCTTCAGAGGTTTTCTTTCTCTGCAGCTGACGGAGAGCAGCCCAGCCTGGATTTTGTTCTAGGATTCACTCGCAGTCCCAAACCTTACCGCCTCTGTGCTGTACCCCGATGAACCACCAGCTGTCCCAGACTCAATCAAGTTTCTGTGAAGGAAAATTTCAACAGAGAATTTAATTTGTATTCTGTGTCTTAATTTGTTTCAATTATTGCTGATAAAAGGTCACATATTCTGCAGAATCCACTTCACCATGTTTCTCTAACTCTTAATATGTGTCTCTAGTCTGTCTACAAAACCCCCAATGATGAGAAAAGTCCATAATCTCCATCTTTTCTCTGCTCCACTTTTCAGAAAATGTGTGCTCAAACAGGCCGTTTGGAGATTTTCCCTTCACAAAGGGCAGTAGCCACTCCCCCAGGTGGGTGACACTCCCACAGCTAGGTGTTTGTTCTGCCCTCTGAGTCTGCCTTCTCACCGTAAACAATAGGACATGGAGTGAGAAAGACCGAGACACCCAAGTCCTTCCAGAGAGGGGGCGTGGTCAGACACAGCTCATTTACATATTTAAAGGTACAGACACAGAAACAGCCTGTTCTGAGCAGGGATGAAATAAAGGGGTTTATAGGTATGATCAAATACAGGATCAGAGTGGATTTAGAACAAGAAACTTCACACACATGTTTTGAGGAGCTCTGAGACTTATTTAAACTGAAGAGGAGGAGAATATGTGACCTTTAATTCTTTCACTTTTCAAATGCTGTAACTTCTGATTGTTCCATGTCAAGTCTTACCAGTAAAAATAAATTTGAAAATGGGTGAATTTGAAAAAGTCTCAGTCTGTTTATTTTTCCATGAACATACCTGCATTCTGGCAATCAAAGGGACTACAAACATTAGCAACCATCACAACTGAAGTAGATATGTTTATTTTATTTATTTTTTTTAACATTGGAGGTGACCTTCTTCAAGCTTCACAAACAACAATGGCCTCTAATGTACCTATATTGGGTTCTTTTTCAACAAACCTATAAACAGATAAAAAGTGGCTCTTCGTTGAGATCACAAAAGTGAAAAAGATTACTGGATCAACATTTATGTATTCACATGTTAACATTTGATGGAATATATATGCAGTGGCGTGCCTAGAGGGGTGACATGGGGCCCCTTGAAAACTGATAAGCCACCCCAGGTGCCTCTCCAAAACACTAAACTATGACTGGCTACTTGTCTTGTCAGAGGCGATACTTGTGTTTCAATTGAGTATTTAGGCCAGAAGTAGTTTTCTTTACATGTCAATGTAGTTAGTAGTTTTAAGTTTTGTTAATACTTTAAATAGAAAAAAACTGCAAATGTATTTATTGAATAAGAAACAACCTGAGAAAATGAATGAGTCTATAAAAAATGGTGGGGAGCAGAGAGTTGTTTTTTTTTTGTTTTTTTACCAGAATCCCACTGTGACATCACAAGGAGAGCAAATTAGAAATGAAGCATTTTTCTCTGTGTTGTAAGACTTATGCAGACCACAAACAAAGGACTGGATGGATTTATTTCACATTTTGTGGGTCAAAAAAATTATATTTATTTTAGAATATGTCTCCTTTAAAGACAGAATATGTGATTTTTCACACTTAAATATAATATAAATCAAGTCTATCCTCTGAAAATAACTCTGTGAGTCATGACTGTCTACAATGGGTGTAACACCCGAGTCCCACTGTCTCTGTGATGTTTTCAGAGTTTTCAGAGTCCTATCTTCACTTTGTTTACATCGTCAGGACGGCCGGCCGGCTCATCCCCTCTCGTATAAAAGTTGTTTAATTGAGGGACTAGAGAAAAGAAGAATAACATAATGTACACACTGCTTAACTGTGTTTCTAGATCACGCTCATTTCAGGTAAATTTACATGCAGTGTGAAGATACGAGCAGAATAAAGATTGCTAGCATTAGCATGCTAACACAACAATGCAGCGCGAGTTGTTTTGGTTTCATGCTGGTCCTCAAGGGCGACATCTGCTGGATCTAAAAAATCGCATATAAAGCCTTTAAAGGCAGAATATGCTATTTTTCACACTTAAATGTAATAGATACTGTGACAGTGACATTTTCTGCCTTTAAGCACTCAGATCAAGATCTCTTTCACATGGTGGCCTGTCAAAGAGGGCAGCATCACACGTCATAATGAACTTTACGTGAATATGGAACAGTTCACAAACAATAATTTAAGAGCAACATCAATTAAAACAAAAGATAAAGTGCAGAAGTCGTGATGACAGATTACAGTTCAAACACATCAGGCACTGTCCAATGGTCTCGCGTTTTTGGTCATTTAAGATCGAGCCAAAGGCTTCAAGTGAAATGAGATCTGCTGGTTTCAAATCATTTTGGACAAAGTGCTCTGTAGGGGGCAGCAAAACTAAAAATTATTTTCCTGAGCTCAGTGTTATGAAGGAGTTTTAGGGCCACATTAAGGGGGAAACCATTTCAAGAATAAAGTCGTAATTTTACAAGATAAATGTCTTAGTGTATCAGAATAAAATCATAAATTTACTACATTATTGTACATTTATAGAATAAAGTAAGAGATTTTCTTTTTTAAAGTACTTTAAATTGTGACTTTGGACAAACGTTTTCTTGGCATCACCACTCATAGCAATAATGCTACACACTGTGTGTGTTTTAAATAACAATAACTCTTTCCACATGTGGAAGTGTACATACCTTGTATTATTCTATTATTGTATTTTTTCTCCCTTTATTTAACTGATGTAAATATGCTTGATTTTTAACTTCTTGTTATTTATTTTTTTATTTTTTTATTCAAACATTTATTTTATTCAATATTTTACACATTTATATTTACATATCTTAGTTGGTAAAACATGGTAATAATTTTACAATAATTATTTACAGTTCGGCAAACATAGAAAATTAAAAATAAATAAAACGCATGGCAACATCTTCATCCGCACAAAGAGGAGACTCTTGACAAGTAGAGGGAAAAAAATTGCTTCTTCAAAGCAGGCATCAGATATATCTGTCCATAAACACACAAGCAATTGTTAACCTTTCACATACATCTCTATGAATATGTCTACTGACACATCCAAAATAAACCAAAAGAAATATACATAATGTTTTCTTTTAAATAAATTGAGATTATGTAAACCGGTCTCTTACCCTATTGGTAATGTAAGGTAAGCAATGACAGGAGCCCATAGAACCACAAACAAATCCATTTTCAGATGGAGTTTCGCTGTTATTTTCTCCATCAAGTAAACCCTCTCTAGCCTTTCTCTCCATTGGAGAAGGGTGGGAGGTAGAGGTCTAAGCCAGGATATGGTTTTCGTTTTCCTCGCCACCAGAAGAAGGATGTGTAGTAACCGGGCCTTTCCTTTATCCATCGCTCCCTCCAGTATTAAACCTATGATGAAATATGATGCTGTAAGCGGTAAATCTACTCCTAGGATGGTTCGTATTTCTGTTTGAATCACTTCCCAAAATGATTTTAGTTTGGGACAGTCCCAAAAGATGTGAGTATGATCTCCAACCTGTTTACAGTTCCTCCAGCATAAATTTGTCTTACTTCTGTCATATTTTGATACTATGAATGGTGTCGCATTTTTAATTTCCAACTGAATTCTTTCCAAGTTGGACTGTTAGTTATCTTATGCCCCACTTCACACACATCCTCCCACTCTTTATCCTTAATGACCACATTCATCTCCAGCTTCCACCTTTCTTTCACATCAACAGAATTTCCTGAGCATTGTGCCTGTAAATATCTGTACATATGTGAAACTACTTTCTTAGTATTCTTTTCTTCCATTTTCCTCATCAGGAAGTCCTCTATTGGTGTGGGCAGTTGTTCCATTCTTTGTGTGACATTAAAAAGTTCCTTAGTTGTAAATATCTATAAAAATCCTTGGGGGCCAAATAAATGTATCCTGTAATTGCTTATATGACTTTAGGGTTTCACCTTCAAATAACTGGTTTATGATCACAAGGCCTTTTTCTGCCCAAGCGTTGAACCTTGTATCTAATTTCTTTAAAGTCTATGTTTTTTGCAATTTTGACCGCTCTAGATATTGTTAACGGTGCGCCTATCATTTTCCTAACTTGAAACCAGACCCTTTGAGTACAATTCAACCATTCATTTTTTATCTTAAGTTTCTTCCATTTCTTTTGTTCTAAGAATGGTATTGTCTCAAGAGGTACCAGTGGGCATGCATGTTGTCTAGTACAACAGTCGAGGAAGTACATTCATCCTGACTGTTTCAATCCTTCCGATAAGTGAGAGCGGGAGAATCTCCCACCGAGCCAAGTCTAACCTTATCTGAGCCATCAGTATACCATAATCAGCTTTAAATAATTCTGAGGTATCTGGAGTAATCATTATGCCTAAGTATCTAAAGCCTTGTGCTGACCAGTTAAGTGTAACTTTTTTGTCCAGCTCAGAAGGCCACCTGCCAACAAGTATCATAGCTTCTGATTTAGTTTCATTAATTTTGTAACCGGATACTTCCCCGAATTCATGTAAGCTATCTAAAAGGGCTGGGATAGAGCACAGGGGGTTATTAATATATAAAATAAGATCGTCAGCATACAGCATCATCTGATATTCCTATTATCTTGGTGTTCTCCCTTATCATTTCAGCTAAAGGCTCTATACTGATAGCAAATAACAGAGGAGAAAGGGGACAGCCCTGTCTAGTTCCTCTATTCAGATTAAAGCTCCCTGATGTATGTCCATTCACCCTAACTTGCGAAGTGGGCCCAGAATACAGCACTCTGATCCAATTAATAAAATCTATATGAAATCCCAATCTTTTAAGTGTTTGTTCCAGAAAAAGCCAATCTACGCGATCAAACGCTTTCTCTGCGTCCAGGCTGAGAATCATCGAAGTTCCAACAGACTGTCTAGCTACAGAGATTATATTTAAGGTTCTCCTGATGTTATTCAATCCATGTCGTCCAGGTATAAATCCTGTTTGATCAGCTTTTATAATTTTGTTAATGTATCTTTAAATCCTTTTAGCCATTATTGTACTAAGGATTTTTACATCAGTGCACAGTAGACTTATCGGCCTATATGAGGTACATTTTGTTGGGTCATTCCCTTCTTTGTGGATGACAGAAATTATGGCTTCTGACCATGTTTTTAGTGGATGTGTCAACCCAAAATAGCATACCTTTAATTCATCAACTTAGCACCCGGACAAGCAGTGTGCTTTTAATGTTGTGATGAGCCATACTAAAAAAATATATAAGAAAATAATTACACAGTGTCACACAATTTGATACATTCATTTTGCACAATAATAATCAGCAAGTTTACTCCCGTTGCTGCCGCTGATGATTAAGAGCGATAATAAAATATAAACTAATTATTAAAGCCCAACAGAGATGATTTAATTCATAGCACAACATGAGGACTCTCATACCGTTAAAACAATGAGTCACTACAGCGTCCAGTCATCCTCCTACTTGTTGTAATCCGCTATCTACAAGAGTGAATAAATTTAACTTTAGCAATTCGCACTGTTCTTGCATGTGCTTTCATAGTGTGTGGATAATTACGTTTTAAGCTCAACAGATCACTTACCGCCAGCAATTGTTTGTAATCAGTTCACTTCACGCTGCACTTCCTTGTTCAACACACAGGTAAGAGAGGGCGAGCGCTTGATTACGTCACCCTTATATAGCCTCTCCCAGGGACCGACAAGCAACCACATTACACCAGTATCGAGGAAAAGTTCTAGTTGTGCCGGATATGGAGACTGGGCTCTGATGTTTTTTTCTTTCAGCTTTTTGATTACCTCTCGCACTTTTTTTTCTTTTCCTCTGCAAGTCAGGGGAGTAGTCTTGGTCGAAGAAAACCCTCCGGTCTTCATATTGAATGTCTCGTTGCTTCCATGCTTGCTGCAGTACCATCTGTTTCACACTAAAGTCCAGAAACCTCACAATTATAGACCTTGGTGGTGCTGTTGCATCCTTCGGCCTAATCTCTACATCTCCTTGCAACTCGAGCACAGTTTTCAGAAAGTCAGACACAAATGATGTCACATCTTTCTTTTCGGCACCTTCTGGTATACCATAAAGCAGTGATGTCAAAGTTCTATTGGGTAAGGGGCTGGATTTGTTCAAATGAGACCTCAAGTGGGCCGGACTAATTTTGCCAACATCACTATAACTCAACACATGGATATATAGGCTAATGTATGATTATATAGAAAACTTTAACATTAACTTGGACTTGGGCGGCAGTATCTCAGTCTGTAGAGACTTGGGTTGGGAACCGGAGGGTCGCCAGTTCAAGTCCTGGTGCGGACCAAATATGGAAGTTAGTCTGGTAGCTGGAGAGGTACCAGATCACCTCCTGAGCACTGCCGAGGTGCCCCTGAGCAAGGCACCAAACCCTCTCCCCACCATCAGCTCAGGAGCGCCCGCTGTGGGCCGCTCCGTCACTCTGGCTTCTCTCCATGTCCATAGGATCCCGTTTCTGCATGTGTGTGTATATTTCAGCCTATGTGTGTGTGACTTGCAGAGTGTAAAAACTGAAATTTCCCAACAATAAAAGTAAATCTTAATCTTAAATCTTAACATTAAGCAGAGGGGTTAACTGTCATTGCAAACTGCAGGTTGGCACATAGAAATATTTAAATGTACCACATTACAGAAGAAAATATCAATAATTATGTTTTGTTTGAGATTATTATATTATATTTAAATATTGCTGTTCAAGGTTATAGAAACTTTGACACAGGTTATTCTACCTGCCCTGGGATTAGTGCATTAGAGAGAGAGAGAGAGAGAGAGAGACAGAGACAGAGAGAGTGAGAGACAGAGAGAGAGAGAGAGAGAGAGAGACAGAGAGAGTGAGAGAGAGAGAGACAGAGAGAGAGAGAGACAGAGAGAGTGAGAGACAGAGAGAGAGACTTTAGATCTGTGTGTGTCAGGCCACAGCACAGTTTGCACTCGTTCACATGTAACAGAGTTAAAATGCACTTTATTTTGAGTACAGTTTACAATTTATACTTCAGATTTCTGTTAAGTATTTGTGAATTTTATCTTAACGAGTTATGTATATTTACTGTTATTTTATCAAATTTATTTTTCCTTTGAGAATTACCTTTTTGGCACTTTGCAGCTTCTGTACCTCCTGGGTTACCGTAGCTCCTTCCGTCTGTCCCTCACAGTGCCGTTTTGCATTGCTGAGGTTAAGTTGTATGTAAAAACGTTGCTGCATCATTATCTTATTTACTGTGGAAAATCAGTGATTTAAGTTTTGATGTTCGGTTTATTTTATAAACTGATAGTAATACGATGTTAATCAGTCATTTTGTTTAGGTTTGTTTAGGTTTAGGAATGTAGCGGTTTTGGCGCGAATTGTGTAATATCCTACAGCGCTTGTGTAACGTGATTGACGTAGTGCCGCAGATATTCTCAGTTAAAATAATATTTATTTTGCATGTGTAGGAGCCGAGGTGCAGAAAACGAATGTCCAGAAGGCACATTGAATGTTCTTTTGTCTTCTGCAGGTATGTTTTTCTTTGTATTTTCATACTTTCTGTTTTGTTTTACAGCCGCATGTTGTCGTTTATTTTGTCCACTAGGTGTCACTGTTTTACCATTTGGTATACTGTTTCTCATGTTTTTTTACTGAGATTTATTGTTAATATACACTGTAAAACCGAAGTTTTTCAGCCATTTGTAGCAGCTCTTGGTTATAAATATTTACATATAGTTAAGATATTGAAATGATGATTGTAATGTATTTCTATGTAATATAAATGTGTTTTGAGCTCTGACAGTGCCGTTTTGCATTGCTGAGGGAGCAGAGGTCCAGAAAACAAATGTCCAGAAGGCACATTGAATGTTCTTTTGTCTTCTGCAGAAAATAAATGCTGGAAAACAGTCAAAGTCTGATTTTCTTCACCCCCCTGACCACATCTGTTACACACAGATAAAACCTGCTCACATGAATAAGTTATCACAAACACACAGAGTGTCTTTGATGCAAGACCGAAGTCATCTTCAGGTATTTTTAGTAGTAGGCATTATAAAATGATGACATGTTTCCAAACCAACAGACTTGAATTGATCCTTCAGCGTTGCACAGCAGTCTGATCAGCTCCGTGTGGAGTTCAACTTCAACTAAGTAAACTCAGTTAAACCACTTTTGATATGAGTCTGGCAGTCCGTTCTTCTTCGTGTCCGTACTATCGTGATCTAACTCTGTCACTGACTTTTTATGCGTCATGAATCTGTGCCATCTCCGTGCGTAATTCAAGGAAGCATTTTAATGCAGCTCCTTGGTTAAACCAGCGGACCTCTGTATGATTGGACAGCCTGTGCGTGATATCGTTTTTGGATAAGAAGGAAATGTTCAGTAATAGTTATATATTTACAGTCTGATGAAAGCTGGTGATAAAGGCGCAACAGCAGGCTACTGCATTTAGAAGTGATGTCACGCTGAAACTTTCAGGTAATCAACACAACACGTTCACCTCTGGGTGACCTAAAAATGAACCATCTGTAATTAAAATCAGTTAATATTCATTTTAATTTACTGTTTTTACAATAACCAGAGGTAAAATAAGTCGGGAGATGCATCAGGCTCAACGTCTGGATGTGTGGAGACGGTCTGGGCCATTACGCATGGCGGAGAGGATTTTGTGGCTCACTACATAGGAAGCTTTGTGATTATCAGCCAAAACTTTTGTGTAGTGGCTTGATCTTGCGTATCAAAAGTTTGAGCCACTGAGGGGCTGATAGCCTACCGCACTTAATTGACGCGCTGTTTATCAACTCCGTGCTGTCACACTCAAAACGGGTTTATCTGAATCGTTCATTTACAATACATATTCTGGTTGTCTACATACACTTATTCCACTATAACTTGAATGTAAAACAAAGCCAGGATAAATGTTCCATTCACGATACATTTCAACAGCGGTCAAAAACTGAGTGCCTCTCATGGTGGGCTGCTCACCTGTCCGTGATTAACTCTTCCTCTACTTGTAACCTTCCCAACACCAAAGTGAATGTGCCCCCTACTGTCACCACAAGGAACTACCACAGAGCACACATACATACTGAACACACAAATGGCTCTAACATTTTGTTTTCCATCAGTCAAGACAGGAGAAACTGGAAAGAAGTGTGGACAGAACTGAAGACCGTCAGGATGCGCGCGTAGTGCAGCAGTTAAGTCCCGTAGCTTTGATGAAATTCTGGCAACTTGTGAGCAAATAAAACTAAAGAAAGATCGCTCCTTCGATCTCTTGAAAACCTGCATTCTGTGTCACTTCTTTCAGGTGTTCAGCCTGTTTGCTGATGTGATGTATTACCAGCGTAATGCAGGAGCAGCTTGTGATACTCCCTGCTGAGAAAATAGTGCCCCGTTTAATTAATATTCGTATCATGATATCAACCTTTACGTTGCTCATTTTACATAGGTTTTAATACAATTCAGGGAAAATCCGTATTACAAATATTTAATTTATAAAAAATCCCAAAATATTTTTCAATACATTGCCCCCTTCTTCCCAAAACGTCTCGCGGGCCGGATGAAACCTGCTGTTGCGCCGGATACGGCCCGTGGGCCGTATGTTTGACATCCCTGCATAAAGTCTAATATTGTTGCAACGGACTCTGTTTTCCATATCATCACATTTAGCAGTCAAAGTAGCCTCTCTTCTTAGCAAGTAGCCCATAGCCTTCTCCTGTTGCTCACCCTGTTCTCTGCTTCGGTTAGCCTTTTCTCCAGACCCTCCATTTGTTCTATCTCCATGGATGATTCCAGTCTGTTTAGGGAAAGTTTTGTATCCCGAAAAGAGTCATTATTCTCTTGTCGAAGTTTCCTCAACTCCGTTAGCATCTCCGTTTCAGTGGCGTAGCTTCTGCTAACGTTAGCTGCTTCGAAGCTGCTTTCATATCGTCATTCTTTACTGATTCTGTGTCTTTCTTGATCGTTCTCTGACTCAAACTCATCTTTTTAGAGGGTGTACCATGTAGTCTGGTGATCATTTGTCGGTTTTCATCCATTTCAAGGCTGTTTTAGTCATGGGTCTGGCGGAGCGGATAAATTATTATTATTATTATTATGTTATTATGTTACTTTTAATAATTTTATTCCTGTTTCCTGTTTTCTTTAGCTGTTGTAATGGTTGTAACGCAAAAAATTTCCCCATGGGGATCAATAAAGTTTATCTTCTAATTCTTCTTTTTGAGTCTTCAAAGACTGAAAATAAGAAGCTTTACATGTTTTGTAATATAACAGTGGATATTATTATTGGAGATATAAAAGATAAATACATTTCTTTCTTTCCTGTGTTTGTATATGCAAACCGGATGCCAAAGTCAGTGCCCTAGTGCCCCCCCTCCCAGTCAGAAAAGTCTGGACACGCCCCTGATATCTAATCTCAGTTATAGATTCAGACTGTGGTACACTCTTGGTACACTGCAGTAGGTAAACACAAACTACTTACTCCTGCGTGTGTGCATTGTGCTTTTATTTTGAAGGTTAGGGACGTGAACCGGAACTCCCATCATAATATTACAGTCATTATTGTGAGTGGTTACGTCTGACAGTTTTACCTGAGTCCTGTTCCCAGAGAGTGTTGTGTAGCGCAATTTTAACTTAACACATCAAA